TATCAAATAGAAAATATTTTGAGAAAAAGCAAGTCACTTCTCTCAGTTTTGTTGCTTGTTTGAAGGGTCATTTTTGCTTGTGAAAACAATGATTTAAATGTATTTACACAGGTTTTGGTATTTAATAATGAAATATAAAAAGGTTTAATCAAGTAGATTTCAACACTACCCTACACTACCCTCTTTCCTGAAGCACTTAAATGTGCTAATTTAAATTTCTAGAGCTGGGGCAGTAAGTTTTACTCATTTTATAAAGGAGTAGAGAATAGATACAAAGAAAAAAGTCTTACTTTTTTATAATTGATTATAAATTTTATTTTTCTCTCTTTTACCTTAATAATCTTCCCTTAATAATTAGTTTTGTATTCAAAGGGAAGGTGGCCCTGTCCTTACAGAAATAGGCCACAGACCCCTCTGTCCATAATGTTAATAACAGTTTCATACTTCAAATCAGTGTCATAATAGCCTTGAAAAGAGTAATAGTGACCAGATGATTGGCAAACCATGTAGCATATTTCGTTTTATAATTATAAAGTCACTGTCAGTAAGATGAAAGGCCTAAATTTTTTTGCATTTTTCATCTTAATCATTAAATATCATTTCAGCTCTATTTTTCTGTGGTTGTTCAGGCCTGTAGTATTCTAGTATTAATCAGAATGTGACCCGGAAGGTTCCCTAAGGTCTAATAAATCAGAGAAGGTTATTCTATTGTCTAAAAATTTCTCTGCAGACCTCTCAGTATCTTAGAAAAATGTAGGAAAGTTCACATACCACCTGTGCTATAATTGTATTGAGTCTGTTTTTACAGCACTTATATTATTAGTGATTAATTTTTTTTTGCCTTTTTAATGTAAAATATACTTATTCCTTTATCTCCTTATGTTTCTTATATTCACTTATTTGAGATAGAAAATGTTTTTTCTCAGTTTCCTGCTGTGGCTATTGTGCAGTAAGTGTCAATTTTATCAGGGGAACTGGTAGTAGCTAGTCTCCTCTTTATTTTACACCCTCCTTTCTTTATATTCTCTCTTCCTCCTCCTTCCCCTCCCCTTCAATCCTCACTGTCTGACTCTTCATTTACTCTCCCTTTTGCTCTCCATATTCTTTTCTCACTTTTCTCTTGATACAACTTTTTCCTTTTTTGTTCTTTCAGCTTGCCTCTCCTCTTTTTTTTCTCTTTCCTGGTTTCCAAAGGTAACCTGTAAATAGCAGGAAACACCCAGTGCCAGACCTTGGTTCCAGATCTAGCATTTTTTCTATGTCTTTTGAACATGTCCCTGTGACCTTTTTGAAAACCTTTATTTTCTCAAAGTAAAACAAACACAATACCTGCTCTGCTGCTCTCACGGGGTTCCTTCTTGTATCAGATGAGATGAGAAGGAGCGGAGGCAGAAGCAGACTTCCCGTCAGAGACCAGGGTTTAGAGCCTTTGTTTTACTACTAACATTAATCTGCATATAATTACTTCATTTTGTTTATTGTTTTTTATTCCTATTCTTACATACTTTTTAAAGCTTTATTTCTCCCTTTATCCTATTCCTTGTTACCTTTTCCCTTTCCCACCCATTCTTTTTTACTCAACCTATCACTTTTTTTAAAATATTTTTTTATTGATTTCAGAGAGGAAGGGAAAGGGAGAGAGAGATGGAACCATCAATGAGGGGGGAGAGAATCATTGATCGGCTGCCTCCTGCATGCCCCCTACTGGGAACCGAGCCTGCAACCCGAGCATGTGCCCCAGAGGGAACCCTTTAGTCCACAGGCCAATTCTCTATCCACTGAGCCAAACCAGTCAGGGCTCAACCTATCACTTTTATATCTCCTTTAATTTCTCATGTTCATTTTTGTAATCAGTTATACCTTCCTCCTCTGTCAGCCAATACAAAAATACCTTGCACATTGTTTTTCTTTTCAAACCACTACAATTGTTTCAAATGTGTCCCAGAAAGGAAAATGTTTACCATTAGAATATTTTTCTCCTACATATTTTTTAAAATTAAAACTTGATTACCTTTTTGCAAGTTGGGCTAATTCAAGTAACATGTAATTTTAAGTAACATGGCTTTTGTTTTACTTAAATTTATTTTTTAGGGAGGTTTCACATAAATGGAATCCTAAACAAATAGGAGAACACCTTCTGCTGAAATCGTAAGTGAAATTTATATTGAAGATTTATATTAATTTTTATAGCATTATAACTGAAAAGAATTTTATTAAGTAACTATACTGAAGGAAATTAGAGCAATGAAAGATTTGAGGGACTAGAATTTCAAAGGACAAGTTACAGGGTTTAGGAGTAAAAATCCTGAACTATTATTATCTTTAAAATAAATCTTTCTATTTTGAAAGGGTGAAATCACAACCTAATTTTTCTTTGTGTTCTTAGGAAGTTAGCAGAGGTCCTCAACTTTTTAAACACAACTTGCCAAGAAAATTATTATTATTTTATTATTGATTAGAGATAACAAATTTATTTGTATGGTGATGAGCAAACTAAAAAACGTAATCCTGAAGGCATTTAGTGATTTTACAACACTGACCATTTTCGTAGATTAGAATTTTACTCTTCACTTTTTAATTTTTTTTGAAGATTGTGAATTGGAAACCCCCCTCCAGCTTGCTGGCTCCCTTGGTGGGGCATTCGAGCTCATTATCACTTGGTGATGTTCCATTCACCTTGCAAATTTACTTCTT